GAGTGCACTCAATCCCACTGTCCATGTTGGCAAAAAATCTGTTAAACAATGCTGGTCCCAATACCAGCTGGTCCCTGAGGAACACCACTCATTGCCAGTCTCCACTTGGACATCGAGCTGTTGACCGCAACCCTTTGAGTGCGACCATCCACCCAATTCCTTATCCACCAAGTGGTCCATCCGTCAAATCCATGTCTCTCCGATTTAGAGACAACGATGTCATGCAGGACAGTGTCAAATGCTTTGCACAGATCCACGTAGATGATGTCAGTTGCTCTTCCCTTATACACCAATGCTGTATCCCTGTCATAGAAGGCCACCAAATTTGTGAGGCACGATTTGCCCTTAGTGAGGCCGTGTTGGCCGTCACCAATCACCTCCTTCTTTTCCATGTGCCTTAGCTTAGTTTCCAGAAGGAAGTGCTTCACAATCTTAATTAAAGTATTAAAAGTGGCACTGGATATGTGTCAGGCACCTGAGCAGTTTTCATGGTTGTTTTTTGCAAGAGATCAGGTCAGGTGCATAGTGTTCCCTTTTGGATTAAAATTTCAGTGCACCAAATTCTGGGTAAATGGAATAAACTTTGCTGTCTGCAGGATGTTTTGAAAAAGTTGTCTAAAAGCATAACCAATCATGACCCCAAATGTCTGTTTCAAAGTAATATGAATGCAATAGCAGCAACTCAATGCCCTTCACTGATACTAAGATTAATTTAATGCTGCTACTTGAGCTAAAAAAAATGATTGTTTCAGATTAGCAAGCTTATGGTACAAAGTAATAATTGAATTGACTTTAGCAGCCCTCATTTCTCCATGTAAAACACTGTTTAAATCAGTGTTATTAGTTAGTATAATGGCATAAAGCGAGAGCATTCAACACCTAATGAAAACTTGTTGGGCAGCTCTTCCCCGAAACACCCTCTCACCTGTGCTGTTTCGGAGCATGCAGTCTGGTGGGGTTTCTCAGAGACTGCAGGGCTGCTCCAGGATGACAGAGCATTTTCTCGTACCTGCCAGTGCCCTACCCCTCTGTGCAACAGGCAGAGCAAGCAAACCAGCCACTGCTACTGATAGCCTCGGTATTGGGAAATAATACCTCTGTTAGCAAAACAAGCTGACTTGCCAGCTGATGTGACTCTTACTTGAAGAAACACCAGATTAGAAATCTGTAAGAAACTTAAAACAGTATTGCTAGCTCTTTTTTTTTTTTTTTTTTCCTCCAGGGTGCTGGACATTGAACAAGAAATGACCAAGTTTGCAGGTTACTATGCAGGAATTGGTTGTGCCGTACTTGTGTTAGGATACCTCCAAGTCAGTATTTTGTTCCCTATTTTGATTTCAAAGTTTAAATCACTAAATAATTAAGTTTATAATAATTATGTTCCTTTTAACTGCTCAGTCAGCTGCCCATTTGAGCAGAGCAAATGCTTGCAGTTGTCATTCTATCGTCTGAAACAGGTTAGCTCTGGCAATCTGAGACCTTGGATTTGTGCATGCATACCTTTGTACAAGGATACGTTTTACCCAGTGAGATGAATGCATGCTGCTCCTTTCACACCACAAGAAATACTTGCTCAAGTGTGGTTACTATGGAATCCACATGCCCTACCAAAATAACAGGTGAAGGGCATACAGATTCCCGGTAGGCATATCAACTGCTTTGAGCCCTGTGTTTCTAGTATAGAGTTGTTACAGAGTGATACTAGTGCAAAACTAGTGTTGAAGAAGAATCACACCCTACATATTCTGACTGAGATGAGCCACAAGCTTGGACCATTCCTGCATAATCTGCCAAAGGATCCACTGCTTTTGAAGCTTTTTATAATCACAAAAATCACTTGTCATTCTCCTTCCTGAAAACTATGCCTACGTTACATACAGCTGTAGATGGAAAAATTTTTGTCCATATGACATTCATGTGACAGCACAAGTAATTTAACTTGCATCTCCTCTCAGCCTATCAGAACTGAGACAAATGCTTGGTCCAGAGGCTTTATAAAATTGTTGGATTATTTAAAGATCAAAGGCATAAACCAACTATTCATGAATGTGTGGCTAGAATGTATTTTACCTGAATAATAAAATGGCCAAATTGCTCTTTCCCATTTTAGCCAAATTGCTTTTTCCCATTTGTTGGGAGTAGAAAGACTTTTTGCTGCAATTTATCAACCACATTATGCTCTTCCCAGATCTGCCTTTGGGTTACGGCTGCAGCTCGTCAGATACAAAAAATCAGGAAAGCTTATTTCAGGAAAGTAATGCGAATGGATATAGGCTGGTTTGACTGTACATCTGTAGGAGAACTGAACACCCGAATTTCTGAGTAAGTAATCTAGAAAAAACATATGCTTGAGAGAACATTTTGCACTCCCTTCCAAAAACAACAGAGTGCCAATAATGAGGCATTTGACAAATACCTTCTAATATAAAATACAGCTATGTTCCTGGGAGCAGGGACTAGGCTGATTATCTCCCCCATCTTCAAACTGAGTGCCATCACTGTTAAGCCACAATTATTTCCCTTTTGTGCCTTGTCTGTCAGTAAATGCGGGGGTTTTTTGTTGGGTTTTGGGATGCATTTTTTTTTGCCAGTTTGTCCTATCCTTCCTTTCTCCTCCTGTGCCCAGTCTTTTCAGAGTGATCTATAATTTGGCTGCCAGCACACACTCCCCTGAGGCTGGAGTTGTGTTTGAACCCTCTCTGACTTCTCAGAAAGGAAAATTATATTAGGGGCACACTTTGCTTTTGTTGGTTTTTAAAAGAAAAGAGTAAGCCTGCCTTAATCTTCTGCTAAAGAAGGTACAAGCACCTACCTTTAGAAAGGGACCCAAAGTAGATGGAGAAGTCTTCTTATCCCAGGTATATATTTAGCCCTGATAAAAGCGGAGTTTAAGGCTTGCTCCTTTTCTTAGTGGTTCCTGTTTACAGGATGAAGGCAGCTGCGAGGTGAATATGCCAACTCTAGATGGCTCCCTGTTCTCAGTTGTGCCTGCACAATAGGAGTCACATTTGCAGATTTTTCTGTAGTTGAAGTGGATTTTATTTGCCTTTACTTACTGCAGTGCTATCTATGACTTTCTGTGGTGTTCTTTTTATGGAAAATAAATGCCAAGTGTAAGTCACAGTGAAGACTTTCTCTGGCAAAAAGTAGGAACTGAGCATGTATTTGTCTAACAAAAAACACTTAGCTCCCTGTTTTTTTGAAAAACATTGTCCTGTGCCCACAAAAAGCTTCCTGATTGCAAAAAAACATTCTCCAGAAGAAATATAAACATATTCCTCAGCTCAACACTCTTCAATTTTTCAATAGCGGACTGTAATTTCACTGGATACATCAATGAGCTAACAACTTTGCACTTTAAACCTCAAAGCCACTTGCTCCTATTTATTCCAGGAGTTGCCAATTCTTCTAATCTCAGGGGTGAGCTAGTAGCCAAGAGTGGCAGACGTATCATGACTGTTTTTCTTTAAGACATTTTTTCTGTGTTGGCAATGCGTAGGGATTGAATGATGTTAACAGCTGCACCACTGTCCCCCATATGATACAGCTGTCATGTTTTCCCACTGCCTCCAGTGATAAAGTAGCCCTCCTCAGTTTTCCCACTCTCCCTGTCATTTAGAGAACAAACTACCTGATAGGGTGGAGAGAGGAACCAGTGGAAAGTGGAACTAGAAGAGAGTTACAGCCCTCCTCCCTTTTCTTGCCCCCTCAGCAAGGCAGTATGGTACATTCTCAGTGCCCCATGATGGGAGGAATGCCATATCAGCTATACAGGTTTTCTGTTATCAGATAGCTGCATCCAGCTGGCATGTCTCTGCCCCCTCCTTTGAATCAGCTGGGGCACAGTAGTAAGAACCAGCTAGTGAATGAGTCTGCTCACAGGATGACTTTTCCTGGGAAAAGACAGTATCTTCTCTGCAGTATTCATGCACAAAAGCCTTCTGCCATTGCAAAGGCACAAGTTTTCTCACAGTAGCCAGGGGTCTTTGGAAGGGATGATGGCGGAAAGAATAGGGATAAGGAAGGGGACTCTCGAAGCGAATGCAACTAAGCCAAACGTGGCCAAGACCTGCAACAGAAACGAAAGATACACTCACCAATCTTCTGTTGGATTTTGTTGCGTTTTTTTCCAGCGATGTTAACAAAATTAATGAGGCTATTGCTGACCAAGTAGCAATCTTCATCCAGCGCTTAACTACCTTTGTGTGTGGATTTTTACTGGGATTTGTCAGTGGCTGGAAATTGACCTTGGTTATCATTGCAGTCAGCCCTCTGCTCGGGGTTGGAGCAGCTGTCTATGGCTTGGTAAGTGAATTGCAAGAAGTTCCTGTTGAGGTATGATGAGCAGGGAAGATCATGCCACAGAGCTGGGAGGACTGGTGGAAGAGAAGGCTATTACACACCTTTAAAGTCAAGAGAGGTAGATTATGGTCACAGCAGCACTGGGGGTGGGGGAGGAGGAAAGCCAGGCTTTGCTCCTGCTCTGCTTATTCTGATTCCCAGAATAATATATCCTGCTTCTGAGGCGGGAGTGTAAGTATACCTTCCATTCGGTCCTGCGGATGGATAATATGGTTGCTGAGATCAGTAGTTGGCCTTCTCTCTATTTCTACGCCTTCTCTCTGTTACTAAATACCTGGTTTAGATGGTTATGAGACACAAGGCTTGATTTTCTATGTAGATTAGGCGCTTTTAGAGATGATCAACTTTTGGAGCTGTACAATAGTTGAAAACAACTGCTTAAACTTACCTCAAGCAGTCCCTGGTCTTGGCAGCTGTTGCATTCTCTCCCGGTTGTTCCTGTTCTGCTCCTTCATTCACTCCCTACGAACTCCCTGTCACCATGCAGAGGAAGGACAGTCAAGAGGGGACCTGCAGGATCCTCTGCCCTCTCACCTCCACTCCCACACCCAGCAGGGCTGGGCGGTCCCTGCTCCTCCTCTGCACTCTCTCATCCTCTGGTTGGGTTCAGCCCTTTGGCTATCTTACTTCTTCCACGTCAGAAACAGTTTGCTATCATTTTGCTGTCAAATCTCTAATGTAACTCAGACTAATTTCTCATCTTCCTGCTTTCCTTTGGCACCTTGTGCTGGCTGAAAGTCTATAACACGAACAATGACTCAGTGTGAAGTGGGAGAGCAAAATCCTGGCAGGGAATGAAATAACCCCCAAAATACCTCTTTCCATCATTTGCAATTTCTTTCTGAGCTCATTCCCCTTTATGTGTGTAATTTCCCCCCTTTCCGTTCTTATTTCTCTGTCCCCATCTCTTTCCTTTCACATACCCACTGTTAGGTGTTTCCTCCTTACAAGCCTTTCCAGCCCAAGTCTTTGGTTTTTGCCATAAAGAAAATAGATCCAAGGTCAATCTAGCCTGGTTTCCTGTCTCCAAAAGTGGCTAGCAGATGCCTGGGGTAGGGTATTTGAAGTAAGAAAGCAAATGATGACACTACGATTTCTAGTGATATTGCATTCCCAAACCAGTGTGGTATCTTTGTGTAGAATTGTACATTACTACATTTTCTTTCATTAATTTGAACATTTTTTTGAGCCTAAGTAAGCTTTTGGCGTCCTATGTGCTCTGGGCTGCTGTGTAGGGACCTGTTTGCCGTCAGCCCAAGAAACAAAGCACAGTGTCGGGCAACATCTGTTTCCATCCTCCCCCATCAGTACCATTACCTCTTCTTCCTGAAGCTGGGCTCTACCACAGTGGCTAAAGGGCTGCTCTTGCCATTTAAGCTCCCACTTCTTCCCACCACGCACAAACCCTCAGTCTGCCATCTGCTGATAACTAAGCCCAGTTAGCAGAAGAAGGAGGGAGGGAAGGAGGGAAAGCAGGAGTTGTCAGCTGCTCTTTCTAGATACCTGGAGCAAAACTGTTGGCCAAGGGGGTAACTGTTCTGCAAAACATATGCTACAGGGCTATATGCCCTAATACTAGAAGACAGAAGTCTTTGAGCGTTCAGCATGCCTAATAAAAGCCTGCTCGGGGCAGAGGAGGCAACCTCATGCAGAGCAGACAGTGCAGTATGACAGCCAGCACTGCTTACCGCTGTCCTTGTCTGCACCTACAGTTCAGATGTAACCAGCACTTCTTATGGTTTTGTAGGCTGTGGCAAAACTAACTGGCCGAGAATTAAAAGCTTATGCAAAAGCTGGAGCTGTGGCTGATGAAGTCCTCTCATCTGTCAGAACAGTGGCTGCTTTTGGTGGGGAGAAGAAAGAAGTTGAAAGGTTCGTTTGGCCAAATTGTAAGGTCTCTGATTGCTTTTTCCTGTAGCAACATAACACTGTAATGCACTTCAGAGTCATGGCAATTAGTCTCTAAATTCTACAACAATGATCATCTGTTAGCTCTGAGAATTATATGCACGTATGTTACAGAAATTTAGGTTTCAAATAACATTACCTATGCAAAACCAGTGTCATAATTCAGTCAATCAGCAAAATAAAACATCAGCAATACTATCTTCAAGTCATTCCCACTTGTAGGAACGTGCTGTCAAATTTTCCCCTAAACATTCTCTGATACATCACTTTTGCAACACTGAACACTTCAGTACTTCTGAACACTTTGGGTACTTTCAAGGTAAGTAAGAGAACTAGTTCCAGCAAGACATAATGATTTGATGATGTTAAGCTGCAAAGTTCTCTTAAATTTGTTTAAAGCATAACACGGCTGTAGGACATGCTCTGAAGCATTGGTCAAATTCTCAAATCCTGTGTCACTCTTCTAAAACTCCAAACCCCACGGCAAGGTATCTGCAGTGAGTGTGGCTTTTCTTGTGCTTATTACACTAGAACATACAATGATTTAATGATCTGGGAGCATTGCTGGCTTCAGCAGTGGTCTCTCACTTCAGAGTAAGGGGTATCAACCTTATGTGGACCCTCCTTTAACTGTAGCACAGTCAGTCATTGAAGACACCTCATTTTGTTAGTCTTTGCTAATTTTGAATTTTCTATCAAATTCATTTAGTCCTCTTTTATTTTTCTCTCCACAGATATGATAAGAATCTGGTGTTTGCTCAGCACTGGGGAATTCGAAAAGGAATAATAATGGGATTATTCACTGGTTACATGTGGTTCATCATTTTCCTGTGTTATGCATTAGCCTTTTGGTATGGCTCCAAACTTGTCCTTGAAGAAGAAGAGTATTCACCCGGCAGTCTTTTGCAGGTACCCATTTTATCTTGATGCAACTTTTCTGGACTGTTTCTTAAAACATTAATTCTGCAACACATATTTGTAGTGTTCTAGTATCTGGTGGCTCAGTGGTAACAGACACTATATGTGTCTTTTAAAGATCATTACTCAGTATATGTATGAAAGTATATGCACAATTGGATAAGATTAAAAAAAACACTCTTGTTTATTCTAAAGATTTGAAATGCTGCATACTTTGGTCAGAATAATGCTTTCATTTCACAGCCTGCTACAAAATTGACAGAGGCCTGAAACTAGCTTTCCGATTTTGTGGATAGGCATGTAGTTTCCGGGATATTGGCTTCTCTGAAGAACTCACTTTGTGATGAACAGCCTCATTGTGGTAAAGAGAAACCTAACCAAAGGAAGTTTTATCAAATTTAACCTCTCCCATGAACTGTTCATGTTTCTTTGAATCACCATTTTCTGTTGCTAATTGCCCGGTCAGCTCTATAAATGACAAAAAAACATGTAAACATATGTGCTGATAAAAACACACATGGCTGTGGCTCCTGCACTGTATACAAAAGACCATACTAACCTGCATGGCACTCGTGCATCCACTTCTGCACAGTAGATGCTTTAGACACTGGTGACCTAAATGCAATAAAACCAACATCTACAGATATTTTAGTTATTTGCTTTAAGCTAGGACTGCCCAAATGGCAGGCTCCAGCCCAGACACAGGGTAAATTTTTCCTGAACCTAGGCAAGTCCTAGGTGTTGTGATGAGACATCTATTTCTGCTCCTTCTCTGCCTGTTGCACACCATGGTCTGCCTGTTGCACACCATGAGAGCTCCTAAACACCAGCAACATGCAGTGCAAAACTTCCTGTTAAGTGGAGCTTGGTAAATTACTCTGACAGCATTGTAAAATTGAGCCATTCTGTTCAAGGAGGATGTCCCTCACAGGAAATCATTTGCAACTGCTCTTGATACCAGTGGTTGATACAAGGTAATGCTGTGAAAAAAAAGTGAGCAATTTCCTTGCCTTGCACAAGATAACTATAGTTCAGTGCTTCCAAATGACAAATGGCAAATAGTGGGGAGCTACCCTGTAGCTGAAAAATCGTAGTTGTCAATGGAGGGACCCTTCCTTATGCTCCCTTTCCTCTTTCAGTTTCCAGTCACCTTTCTTGGACTTCATGTTTTCTACCATACACTCCTAATCTGGCAGGGGGGAGGAGGGGGGGATTTGTAGATACAAAACTTTTAAATATGCTTTTCCTGGTCTCTGAAACACCGTCATGCACCAGCCATACTGCATTGAGATACACTAAGCATTACCTTCCCTTCTTCTTCTGTCAATCAGACCTGCAGAAAGAACCTGGTCTCTCATGTTCGTGATGGATGCTGACACACATATAACCTACTTGCTTTGGGACTCATTCAGACAAGAAAATTAGTTTGTAGTAAAGCTGAATGTGAACTTATGGCATGATCCATCACAGTGTGGATGTTTGCAGTGCACAGTATGTGTACAGTAAATTCTTCCACTTTAGCCACGCGGTTACTCTCAGTAAACATCAGTATGGTGCAAGGAAGAGCTGAGTCCTCTGTACTTCTATTTCTTTCTCAACAGTAGTGTTTCCTTATACAGTTTGCTCATTTATCCGGACTACTGTTTGTGTTGTATTCAAAAGGCTAGCTGAGTCATTGATTGCTTCTTAGCAGAATTCTCAGATACTGGTAAACTACAACAAAGGATTACATACCAGTTCTCCTAATGCTCAGGGTGAATGTTCAAACTATCAGCCACAACAAGGCAAAAAATGGACGAAAAGCCTACACCAAAGACATTATCCAAACATTTACAATCTGCTGTGCCAAACCACCTCTGTAACTGAAAAACTAAGGAGGAATAAAGCAGAGCAAATTCTAGGAAAAAAAATATTCGTTCTGACAAGCACATCCTGATACATTAGCTTTGAGAAGAATAAGCTATACTTACAATACAATGGAGCTCACTCCTTGTTGTAAGAACAGACAATTAATGCATTTGCGTATGTGTGGTAAATAAGGCTTTATCTTTTGATGTTCACCATCTTCCAGTGTCCTGTTCTTTGGAGCTCCTGTCCCTTATAATAATTCCCAACATTCTCAGCCTTAAATGGTTCCTGTCTATGCTTAGGAACCTTGATAAAAACTCCTTCATGGGAAATGAAGCATTAGGAGCTCTTAGGAGATTTTGAACAAATGCTTTTGGCATTTTGGTTCATGTGCTCCAGCTTCACCTGCTTCTGATCTGCAAGGCTAGACTCCAAGGTTGAATTTTTGGAGTGAAGTGTCCTCTGATATCTGATACTCTGTCCAGCTGCCTTTGTCATCTGTTGGTCCTTCCAGGAACAGTGGATGCTGTGGCTCATTTTCTCTCATGTTATCCTAGGCTTAGACCAAAAGGGGATCCTGGGGCTTTCAGAAGAGGGTCACTAGTGAGTAACTCTTCCCTTTGGTTCTTGGAAAAGAACTTGACACAGTGAGCACTTTCAGTACACACTACCTGCAGAAACTGTCCACCTGTACTGATAGAATAATCTCACCTTAAATAGTGGCTTATCTGGTGTTGGCAGCAACCCTTACAGGTCATTTCTGTGTGAGATGGAGAAAACATATTCTCTGTAGCTGGTACCTGCTCCAGAATTAAGTTTGGGAAGTATTGGATGAGACAGGGACTGCAATATACAAAGGTTGTAATACAGTGCTTTAAGCTTCTTTCTGTTTTTGAATTGTTGTAGCCTCTCATCAGCTTAATGGTAAAACACATCTCCAAAATAATCTACTTGCCACCGATGTTCAGTTCCAGCCCTTATTTCAAGGCACAGGCACTCAGTCAAATTGAGGTGGCTTAAAAATACATCAGTGGCACCTCAGTAAATATCTGGGTGCACACATTTTTAGGCCAGGGCAAATACGAGATAAGTTGATTTACTTTAGCCTGGAAGCAAAGTTGTGAAAGACAGTGAAAATCCCTTCTAAGATGGATTTGTTTGCTTTCTTTTGGGTTAATTATGCTTGTATAGTGAATCACTGCAGCTCAGCTGATGCACCAGAAGTCATTAAGCCTCTGTAGTTTGATTTGCCTGCCGAAGCTCTAAATTGTAATAAAAAAGTGACATCATATTTTGTTAATTTTTTTTCACTTCTTCAGGTTTTCTTTGGTGTTTTAGTAGGAGCTTTAAATCTTGGCCAGGCATCTCCCTGTCTAGAAGCCTTTGCCACGGGCCGAGGGGCTGCAGCAAACATTTTTGAGACAATAGATAAAGTAAGTAATGCATTTCTAAGCTGTGTCACTTTGTAGTGGAAAAATAATTCAATAAGCCTCAAGTGGTAGTAGTTTTATCTACTGTGTAAATGAGGAAAAATGAATGCAATTAAAGAAAAATTGACTGTGCAATAGAAAAGTCTAGTGGCATGCACACGGACTCGAAAAGGGTGTTGAAGAGATTTCTTAAGTAGTCTGTTTCTGAATAACAAAGTTTTACCTCAACTACTGCTGTTTCTTGCTTCCATTTCTTGTTAGGTACAATTACCGATCAGTGCTGGCCCATGGAAAGTGTACAGGCAGGCAGTAATAGTCACCTTGCAGTCAAACTTGCAGTGAAGCATCTAGCTCCCAGCCTCCAGATGGCATCAAAATATGTGGCTCTTTTGGCATTAGTGACAAAGGTGGCCTCTGTCACCTGTCCCAGAGCTACCCCGAGTTACAATGGGACCAAATGAGCACAGGCACTGGTCACAGTGGTCATAAATAATCACAGTATTATCTAGACAGATATTTAAAATAAGGTCGTGTGAGAAAGTCTGAGAGCCATTGGCATTTAGTGATGAGGATTCCTTTCTATACCTGTGGCAAAATACTGCTGATTTCTTAGCAGTACATAGTATCTCTGGTCATTGATAGGCTTTATTGTGCTAAAAGCTGTGTAAACACATTAAAATGCTGCTTGTCTTCTACAGAGCACATAAAAGTATATGAAGAAGGCTAGAGGGGCTGTGGTAATGCTAATGGACTTTTTAGGAAACTTTCAATGTTCTATAAAAATGATAACACATGTGCCTTATAAATGCACTTCATAAGCTAAAGCTCTAAGATAAACTGAAAAAGATAAATAAGGGAAGTGTTTTTTACAGAAAAATTTAAAAAGCACAAAGAGCTGCAACAGTAAGAATTAATCACAAGATTCAAGATAAGGCTGAGTCAGATAACCTTAGGGTAAAAAAAGCAAACTAAAGTGAGATTTCATCTGTCTAGAGAAAGGCTGACAAAATTAGATCCATCTCCTTGCTGCATTTGTAGATTTGTGATTACACAGTAAAAGCACAGCTCTGCCCTGATACAGATTTTTTTTCTGGCACTAAACTTACAGCCATGTTGAGGTTCCCATTTGCAGGATCAGTGAAACTTGTCTTCATAGCTTAGTAACTGAATTTAAGTAAGGTATATTCCTAAAGAGGAGTCAATCTTTTAGCTGTTCTTAACATCTTAGAACATACACATTTCTTGTATTAAAATTGCCTTCAATATGTTATGTTGCATTGAAAAAAAATAATGCATGTTTCAATTATCAAATATTGATGTTGCTATAGTTTTAGTTCATTCTCTGTATGCTGTGCTTCAAAAATCTATCCTTAGAAAATTTGATTTCATTGGGATTCCTCAAATTTCTCTCAGTTCTCTGCTCATGTGTAGCAGTCCACAATACCCAAGGGCTGGCCAAAAGTAGGTGAGACCCAGAGCACTTCATGGGAAAACAGGATTCCAGCTCTTAGGACTGGGTATGCAAGGATGGATGTTTTAAATGCAAAGTGGTGAAGTGTGCAGATTTTCAGCAATGAATTGGTTATTCAGTGCTGTAGGAGAATGCTTATATGAGCAAAACAGTGCCATTTCATTGCTGAGGAGCTGGCTAAATTAACTTACTCAAAATGCCTCGCTCAGTCAGCTATTCTGTTCCAGCAAAAACTGGCTGAGTGGTTGACTGTGGTAATTGCAGTAAGCCTAAAATGAGATGAGGCCGCATTCATCTTGCTGTACTACTCACAGGTAACAACTCCCCCATCACTTTGGCCTCCAATTTCATGTCCGTTACCTGCTAGCCCTGAGGCAGAGTCTGCTGCTGGCTCAGAGTGGCCAAGTGCTGTTCAAACAGAAGTGCCATGGCTTTGTATGGTATTGGGAATATTTATCTACTGCAGCAGTGTTGGCTCTTTAACAGCAAATAAATAACACAATAAATTCTATCCTAGAAACCTGCCATTGACTGCATGTCAGAAGACGGCTACAAGCTGGATAAAGTACGAGGTGAAATTGAATTTCATAATGTTACATTCCATTATCCCTCCAGACCAGATGTAAAGGTAATTATTTATCTTCCATCTTGAACACAATTACTGTAAACAATCAAAATTTCCTGCTTCTGCCAGCAATTTCTAGATTTTTCAGTATAGTCTAATTTCCAGAAGCCCAGACCTTCTGTTTAAAAGCAGACTAAATAATTCTTCTATTGAAGAGTTCTTCTAGTTACCATTCTACTTATTTTACCATTCTGACATACCCATTGCCATACGTATTCCTTGCTTCTGAATATAAACTTGTAGTAATTTCAGACAAATTCACCTGCATACAGTTTTTCATACACTCAATTATGCACTTGTGTCAACACGTGCTAGAATCGGACACAAAGTAACAGACTGAATGGTGCAAGCAGATCTTTCAAAACTCTTCTATTACCCTGGGGATGTGCCATGTGACCTATTAAAATGCTAGGAAAAGGTACGGGAACATTGGCTATATACCTCATTATTTCTGTACTACTGTATTTGAATTGACAAATTCTCCTTGGAAAAGTATATTACTGGACAAGCAAATGAGTGCTATTGCTTCTAAAGACAGAAGCACACGAAGTATCAGATTTTTCTACATAATTTCACTGTTACATTCTTAATATTTGTGCATTAACAGGCATTCATAATACATGTATAGTGTTCTTTAAAGGCAATTTATTGCTAATTTCTCCAATGGTATTAACTTGACTAGTTCTTAATGATAAACAACACGAACAAACAAAGATCAAAATCTGCCTGCCTGTCATGGGA